GCAGCCACTGCACTCCAGTCTGGATGACAGAGTGAGACCCCAACTCAAAAGAAAAAAAAAAAAAGACTTCACACGATTCAGTCAACACCTTACATAGCTACTTCTCCACTCTCTTTTACACAAAACGTATTTGGAATAGTTTATATCATTTCTTCCATTTTCTCATGATTTACTTTTAATTTTTGCAGTTTCATTCCCCTTGTTGACTGCTTTCTTAATAATCAACTTATTAGTGAATTCAGTAGCCTCTTCTCAGTCCTGGTATTTCTCAATCATCCTACGTCGACGGATGGGGTCTCCTTCCTTTTCAAACTGCTTAATTTTGCCTTCAGTGCCACTGTACTGTCTTAAACCTTCCTCCCTCTTCAACTACCACTTCTCGACCTTCTTGTCAGCTGGTTTCTTTTCCCGTTCCTTCCTTCTAAACCTGGGCCCACAGGAGATCTGTCCTCCGTCTTTCACATGACTCTCCCTGACTCTCTCACATCTGGTTCTGAGAACCACACCCTCATCACTCTACTCCTGCCTCTTCTGGTTGCTGAAGATTCCATTTGTTTTTCCACCAGCACCTCAGTTCATCTTGTACTTCTTAATATTAATCTTCCCTCTCCCTAGCAGCCTATGACAGATGGCACAGTGCTATGTGCACGGGCTCTGGAGGTAAACTTAGCTCCTGACTCTCTCATTTTGTGGCCGTATGGCCTTGAGCAAGTTGCTTGGCTTCTCTCGACTTTTGTGTGGACTTTACAACATGGTTATGAAGCGTATATGAAAACACAGTTGTGCAGTTTACATGAGAAAATGTATGAAAGGGCACAAGGGTTTAACATATGGCAAGTTATGATGATAATGACGATGAAAGAGAATCTTAGTGATCTGTTCACACTTTTCCCAGTTCTTCCGTAACTTTCATCACATCTCACAGAGACCTTACCTGTGTCATCCCAAATAAATGTAAACTCAGAAGGCCAATCTCGGTTGCAAATACTAGAGGGGACCCAAAAAACCAGAATTATTTTTTGGAGGGTGGTCTCTTGTAGTACAACCTTCCTCCATTAGGTAAGTGTTCTAGGAACCCACTGGCATCCGTGTACCAGTTAGTGTTGTTGTGAGAGGCCGCATTTCAGCTTCAGTGAATATTTTTTTGGAGGTTCTTTTAATGCATTTGCCCATTTCATGATGGGTGATTTACAAGTGCACCTGCCCACACCAAACTGAATGCTTAGCAGTTTTTCACGCAACACAGCATGATGCTGTGCCTCACTCTCCTATGCACCCTGAGCGACAATTTTGTTTGTTTTCCTAGATGAAAAAAGTTCTTTGCGATTTCTTTCGCCCAAGCCAACTCTGGCATGTCTTTCTTTCTTTTAGCTCTTCTTTCTCTAAGAAACTTTGTTTCCAGACTTAAAAAAAAAAATAAAGTCCTAAAAGAGAAATGCTTTGGCGATGTGAGAGAGGTGAAAAAAAATGGCAGAAGCACTAAAAGGCATCAAAATTGATGAGTTCAAAAATTGTTTTCAGCAGTGGTAAAAGCATCTCAATAGGTGTACTGCATCAAACGGAGAGTACTTTGAAGGTGACTGAAGTTTGAATATGTAAGAAAAAAATACACAATTTTTAATAAATAAATTCAGGTTTTTTTGGGGGGTCCCCCCAAAATTTAAGTGCCTCAAATTTCACTAAGCTTAACCAAGCCATTCCCAACCAAGACTCAGAACATACAACTACTTAAATATCAATGTGACTTTCTCATTGTATGCGAATTAACAACGTAAAGAGAATTCAGGAACTGACCTTATTTGACCCCAATTTCAAACTGCACTTTCTAAGCCATATGGTCAGAAGTTAAAATGATCCTCAATTCTTGATAATGCAGAGTAGGTTATCAATTGCAAACTATAACTCTTTCATCATTACCCTAGACAAAACAACCAGTTTGTAGTCCCAATTTCTCCAGGAACTGAAAAATACATTTAATTTTGGCCCAAGAAAGATGTAAAGATTATAACAATTACTGGAAAAAAAAAGATCAGAATCACATATTCTATTACAAAGCCAATATAAGTTATTTAACATCTTTTGCTTTTTATTATCAGTGACTGCAAGAAAGTAGAGCTGATTACATATTTTTATGAGTGTCCATCTAAATATTTACCAAATTTGCTTAAATGTCTAGGGGACCACCACGAGCAGAATCAGGCATCAGTGGAAAAGCATATTGTATGTATTCACTAGATGTCTGCAACGAATACTTTCTTAAAAGAAAGAGGAGAATTACCGCTAAAGACTGAAGCTCTCTCGTTTCTTCCTCAGCTGCTGAAGCATGATATGACAGAACCTGTGGGGTAGGAAAAGAAGGATCCAGGTTACACTGGGGAGAACCACCAAATAGCCAAGCTTGGAATCTGTGAAGACTTCTTGGAGAGAGAGCCAGACTCCTCAGAATGCCGAATCTTGTTGCCTGTTTTCTCAAAAGGAATGAAAACCACACATTTAGATTCCAGTGCTTAGTTCGGAAAACAAAAAGTTATACTCTCTATGTTCAAAGAAAACGTTTGCAACTTTCATTCTGATATTATTGCCATAACAAACAAATTATATATAAGCCAGCCTAGAAATAACTATTGCCTCAAACTTGTCAGGAAATATATTTTGAATTGTTTTTTTTTTAAAATATTGACTTTAGTTATTTCTGCCTGTGTACTGAATTAGGAAAAAAAGCTTTACATAAACCGATATTTTAATGTTAATATTTGGAAAGCAAGTAATCTACAAGTGGCTCTCAGATGAGGCCTGAAATCACTGTAGAATTCATATAGAAAATTGCCTGTCTGGGATATAATGTCCTACAGATTTGAGGATCTCTTTATATGCCTTCATTCAAAAGTTGAGAGGAGAGTAGTGCTAGTTTATAAAGCCATCCTTCAACAGCTGAGGACACTGAGGCTGAGGGAGTCTTATGACCTGGCTGCAAGTTCACACCTTGTGAGATGACAGGGACCTAGGACCTAGCTTTCGACTCCTAATCTTGTATACTGTCTGTTACCTAGTAGTGTGTAAAAGTCAGGCTTCCTTTTGGAAGCTTTTCTGTCTTAATAAATCCTGCTTTCAAAAAATAAATAAATAAAAGTCAGCTTATGACCTTACTAACTTGTTAATTTCCAATTTCAAAAGTGGTAACTTCCCAGACAGGTTGAGCAACCCAAAACTGAAAATCTGAAATCTGAAATGCTTTGAGTATCATGTTGGTACTCAAAAGGTTTTGAATTTTGGACCATTTTGGATTTTGGATGCTCAATTAGTAAGTAGTATAATGCAAAAATTCCAAAATCTGGGGGAAAAAAATCGAAACACTTCTGGTCCCAAGCATTTCAGATATGGGCTATTTAACACGTATATTCAATCTGTATTCAATTTCAGATATGGAATAAAATTTTAGATATTCTTTTTAACCAAGGTAGTGGTTGTATTTTAAATGCATAAATGCATATTAGGTTTTTAAAATATATTTTTTAAAGTTCATTTTAAAATGTGACAACATAGATTTACAAAAAATTCCCCAATTTAAAAAATCATTGATAAAAAGGCAACCAATCTTCAGGCTTAAATGGTAAATAATTCAGCATCCTGAACTATCCTTTTAACCAGTCTTTACAATTTTAATCAATTTAAAAAATCTAAAGTCAAATGTTATATATGCTTATAATCTTGTAATTAAGACTGTTTATAATATTGTACTACATGGGATCTGTCTTAGCGTTTTAATCATTAATTATTAGGAAACCTCAGGAAACCAGAGCTGCCAGCCCCAGTCCATGTGAAATTGACAGGTAATGGCAACCAACTAGTTGTTACTGAGACCACAGAAGTAGTTTGCTGAGAAAAGCTAAGACAGTGATCATGAAATAGTCTAATATTAATAAGTGCAATGCAACATGGACAAAAGAATAAAGGAATGGCATAATACAATTGAAGTTCAAAAAATTAATTTTAAAACACATTAAAGATAAAAATAGCATCTTATAGAAGTATAAGGATTAATTCTGTTAATACATGCAAGCATTATAATACAGAGGAAGCACTGGATAAAAGCTATTTTTATTGTTGTTGTTGTTGTTCTATTGTTGTTAGAATAATTATGACTTCCAGGTCAAAATAATTCATTCATCTTTTAAAAACCTAAGAGAGTGGAGTCCATGGCTTTTGTCCAATGGCCTTGTAAGGTAAAAAAAATGTTTTCAAGATTAGACCTGTGATTGCATAAATGACTTCACATAAAGACCTGAAATTAAAAATTTTTTTATACAAACTGAAAGTCTAATTACCCATAAATTTAACAGAAGGAGAGCTATAATGTAAATAGTGGTCCAAATCTCAATCAGGAAAACACTCAGAGATTCTAAAGAAAGTGATATGTTGTCTGAAACTGCTTCAAAATAATCCAGTGGGAGGGGAGCAAGAGTGCAGAGGCGTGAGCATGAGAACGGATGGAGTGATACTAGTCGATGATTTCTAAACACAGATGGTGCATACATGAGCATGTAGTAAGCTGTTCTGTTTATGTGTATCCTTGAAACTTTCCAGAATAAAAAGTTTTATCTTATTTTATTTCTCATTTTTTGAATCGGAGTCTTACTGTCACCCAGGCTGAAGTGCAGTGCCATGATCACGGCTACTGCAACCTCAGCCTGCTGGGCCCAGGCAATCCTTCTGCCTCAACCTTCCAAGTAGCTGGAACTACAGGCAGGTACCACCACACACCGCTAATTTTTAAAAAAATTTATTTTAGAGGCAAGGTCTTGCCGAGTTGCCCTGGCTGGTCTCAAACCACCGGGCTCAGGCAATCCTCTCACCTCTGCCTTTCAAAGTGCTGGGATTACAGGTGTGAGCCACCATGCCCAGCCAACAAAAAAATTTTTTAAAAAGAAATAACTTGCCGGGCTCAGTGGCTCAGCCTGTAATCCCGTGCCTTTGGGAGGCTGAGGTGAGTGGATTGCCAGAGCCCGCGGGTTCGAGACCCGCCTGGGCAGGCGAGACTTCATCTCTACAATAAATCAAAAAATCAGCCGGGCATGGTAGCGCGTGCCTGTAATTCCGGCTACTCGGAAGGCTGAGGCGGAAGGATCGCTGGAGCCCAGTAGGGCGAGGCTGCGGTGGCCGGGAGCGGCCACTGCACTCCAGTCTAGGCAACAGAGTGAGACTCCAACCTCCCTCCCCCAAAAAAGAAAAAAAACAAATAACCTCTAGTTGATAGCTGGTTTAGATTCAATTCTTCAGTGAAAACCATGAACTGGAAAAAATTATATTAAAAAGTATATAATATATATACATATATACACAAACACACATATATGTATGAATGTGTGTATATGTTTAAAACTATATGTATACATGTGCATATGTGTGTATGTATATAATTGAAACTACATATATTTGAAATATATATTTGTGTGTGTATATTTGAAACAGTTTTCCACCGGTTTATAATTCAAGGTCTTTTATATACTACTACAACAAACCTATTGGTGTTATCTACTCAGTTTAGAAAGCATAGTATTGCCGGGTTCGGTGGCTCAGCCTGTAATCCCGCGCCTTTGGGAGGCTGAGGTGAGTGGATTGCCAGAGCCCGCGGGTTCGAGACCCGCCTGGGCAGCGAGACCTCATCTCTACAATAAATAAAAAAATCATCAGGGCGTGGTAACGCACGCCTGTAGTTCCGGCTACTTGGAAGACTGAGGTGGAAGGATCGCCAGAGCCAGCAGGTCGAGGCTGCGGTGGCCCAGAGCGGCCACTGCACTCCAGTCTGGTCGACAGAGTGAGACTCCAACTCAAAAAAAAAAGAAAAAAGAAAGCATAGTATCTTGGTTATCAGTAAGTCACATACAATAGATATCTTTTTTTTTTTTTTTTTTTGAGTTGAAGTCTCACGCCGTCTCCCATGCTGGAGTGCAGTAGCATACTCGCAGTCACCCCAGTGTCCACCTGCTAGGCTCTGGAAATACTTCTGCCTCAGGTTTTCAAGTGGCTGGAACTACAGGCATGCGCTACCACGTCTAGCTAATTTTTGACTTATTGCAGAGACGAGGTCTCGCCAAGTTCCCTGGGCTGGTCTTTATCCGCGGGCTCAGGCAATTCCCTCATCTCAGCCTCCCAACGTGCTGGGATTACAGGCTGAGCCACGGAGCTTGGTCCCTACTCACTCTTCAGATAATTAGAAGTGAAGAAAAGGGGGAAAAAAAAAGAAAATCATTGAAAATCAGAGTTTAACCTCTGGACTATCTATTTCTGGATTATCTCGGAAACTACTTTGAACTACAGATTTATATACCCCACTTCTGGAAATTCTGATTCAGTAAATCATGGGTAGAAGCTGGAAATCTGTATTACAACAGAGTTCCCACAAATGATTTTAAATGTACAGGCAGTGAGTGAGCCCACTGGCTTAGAGGGCCTGACATTAGGCAGCCTCCTTCCCAGGGGGGACTTGCCTGCCCAAGTGACGGAAGGGTGGTGTACTGCTGCACTCCAGCCTGGGCAATGGAGTGAGACTTCAACTCAAAAAAAAAAAGTGAGTAGGGTTTCTGGTTTTTTTTAAACTTGTATTTAATTTTTTTCCCCACCACTATTCTCATGGAGACACGGAAAGTTCAGGCAATGGGGAAAGGACAGACAGGCTACAGTGGCCGGCAGCAGGCAACTGTGTTATTAAAGTCAAGGATGGCTTTCTGCAGAAAAAGGAGAAGACTGAAGGGACAAACAGCCTGAGATTTGGTTTGGTCAGATGACCCGTGACAAGTGTCTTAAATATTCTGGATCTTAGTTTCCTTCACTCTGTAAATGATGACAACAGAGATCTCGTCATCTAACTCACATAATTTTTGCAAGGACACAATGACAGAACACACACACATCACGAGTTGCAATGAGGGAAAAATAAGAGCAGGTGGCTGCAGAGAGAAGGAGAGGTCCTGTAAACTGCACCCACCTCTAACGTGACCATCTGCTTGGCCATGGCTCTCTCCACGGCTTCATACATCTGTGTGTTCTGGATTCCCAAGCCACAAAAGATGACAAAAGCTTCCAGAAACTGTTCATCATTTCGGTTGAAAGGCTTAACCTTGCCAGTATTCTCCTCCATCTTATTAACAAGCTGGCAAACCCCTACAATAATGCAAGAAATTTAGCAAGTGTTATTGTGAGTTATTATAGCTTTTACAGACTTTAACATACACACTCTAAGATTGTCTTGTACTTTTCTCTTAGCAATGTTTGTCATCACCAAATAAGCAAATTGATCCCCACAACTACATGCTAAGAATTAAACAGAATTTATATGAGAACTAGTTTCAAATAGTCCTAAATGCACACTGCCTCTGTTCAAAAAATCCTAGAGTACTATTTTCTTCCAGACTCGGCTGTGAATTTTAGATCAGTTGAGTCCCCAAAGACAATTTGTCCTTTGCAAACTAATTGGATTTTTGTACACTTGCCAAGAGAACAATTTTGATGCACATCAGAATTTTGGGTCATACAGATCGCCTTTCCTTACTGAGATGAAATCAGAAGTTGAAAAACACAGTTACATACAAAATAGAATGCAGAAAGCAGGCAATTCACATTAAAACTCAAATATACGCCTCTGCATCCAGGGAAATGCAGACAACTTTTGATACTCCAAATAATTACGCAAGCAAAAGATGATTATTGACTTAGAAATAAAAGTTAAACATGTGGTTGATAAAAACAAAAGACTACACCAACTGATACATCTTTACTGAACTGGCTGTTCCATGAGATTCTGAGCCCAGTGGTCTCTTTGTGAGGAGTCAGATGACCTAGCCTACCTCTGGGATAAACAAAGTGTTGTTACAAGACCTAATTACTTCTGTCTCTGAAGATATAGTAACAGACTTCCACCATGTGCCCCCACCATGGGTGAGGTATGTGCCAAATACGTCAGTAGATGTATGGTCTCAATTTATACCGTGAGGTGGATGTAACTACCCCCATTTTACAGATAAAGAAACTGAGTCTCAGAAAGCTTACATCAGTTGCTCAAAGCCTCTTAGCTGTTATGTGTGGATCTAAAAGTTAACCTCCAGCTTGAGCTGGCTGAAAGGCCACTGACTTTTTGCCACATTCTGCTGCCCATTGGCCTGTCAGATTGTTGCTGGCAGGTTGCTGGTTACATCTTGCCTGCCTGCATCACAGTGTCTTTCCCACAGGCCTGCATTGCTCCATACTACTTCCCTGTCTGCCTCCCCAGTTGATTCCTGCACCACCTTCTTCCCTTTCCCCTCACGGGTGACGAAGATGCTTCACTCTTCTATGGCCTTAAATTATTACGTGGTATATCATGGTGGATTTTCTTTCTATCTTTCTTTCTAGGCTGTAAATATCTCAGGCTCAGAGATTTTATTTTATTTGTTTCAGTTCCACTTCATCAGTTAGCAAAATGTCTAGTATGCAACAGGAACTGAAAAAAATGTTTCCTGAGTTAGTGAAAGAATGCAGGGCTGTAGTTCTGACCAAACAACTGTCCCATAAAAACTGTAGCTTATCATCCCTTACATTTTCTGTAGCACAAAAGGATTTCATGGAGTCTATGATGACACATGGTTGCAACCATGAAGATAATGAAAGCTGATACCATTCACTATGTGTCCCTTTATCACCACTGGTGTCCACTTTATTTTCAATACTAGAAATGATCTGTACTTTTTTTTGTCTCCTTTAAACAGTAAAGACATCTACGGCTTATGATCTGCATTAGTGCTACAGGGATTACTTCCCTAACACTTCATAGTCAAGAAAATCTTTATTTATGTATGTATGTATTTATTTATTTATTTAGAGTAGGAGTCTCACTCTGTCACCCAGGCTGGAGTGCAGTGGCACTCTCACAGCCACTGCAGCCTCGACCCGCTAGGCTCAGTGATCCTTCCGCCTCAGTCTTCCAAGTAGCTGGAACTACAGGTGCATGCTACCACGCCCAGCTAATTTGTTGATTTATTGTTGAGATATGGTCTCGTCAAGTTGCCCAGGCTGGTCTCGAACCCCTGGGCTCAGGCAGTCCTCTCGCCTCTGCCTCCCAAAGTTCTGGGATTACAGGCGTGATCCACTGCACCTGGCCAAGGAAAACTTTAAACGCAAGATATAATGCATTTGGACACTGAAAGTAAAAGTCACACAGTGAATGGTGTCAGCTTTCATTATCTTCATGCACATATCCTGCATAAAGTAAAAACTAAAGGTTATGTCCTCCAACCTTTGTGAATCCCCAAATTATAAATATGGAACTGTTTATACAGGCTTCTGGTTGTCTCCCAAGTCACAGTTTTTTAAGAGTCACATGTTTCATGCTCTATCTTCATATCACAATGGAATTGCCTTCCAGTCTTACTAAAGTTTTCTCTTACTTGAGGACCTTTTTCATAAACAAAATTTTAAAGACTACTCCATAAGAATTACTACATGTATAACAAGATACAACAAGGGGTTGAAATGTGGCTGTCAGGTAGTCTGCTGGGTTCATGACTCGGCTACGTAACCCTTCTGTACAGTTCAAATCTGTGCCTCAGTCAACATTCACTCAACAAATATGTTAAGTTACTCAATTACACTCTGGAATTGCTCACAAGTCATTTAAATGAGATGTCACGTGTAGAAATGTCAACATTTTGCTGTAACAAGCACAGAACAGAGCAGAACAGCTAAAGTATGTCCAAGTTACAATCCACCACTGTAGGTAGTATAGATATATAGACACAGAGTTAAGCTCAGGGCAAGAAAAGGTACTGAAGACAAGTCATCCACTAAGGCATAGAATTTAATTCTCCTTGGAAAGTACAATGGACAGCCATATTTATATGCTATTCATGATAATCCCATTGATCTCTTTATATCCTTCAGAAAATGTAATAATATCCAACGAAAATACTCAAGCTAAAAAAAAAAAGCGCAATGGAGAAGAACAATAACACAAAATGACACAAAAATGAGGCTTTTCATATAAGAAAAGTAAGAGCTTGGGCACATTTATTCACGACTTCTTCACTAATGATAAGAAAAAGTACGAGTATAATAATAAAATTTTAAACTGGTATTTGAGATGCCACACTACTAGCAAGCTTTACAAAATCAGAATCATGTATATACAAAAACAAAGTGATTATTCCAAAACCAAATAGAAAAGAAAAATACTTGGCAAAATCATAAAATAAAACAATACTCAAAAACATATTAGGGGAAAATCCGGAAGTAGTAAAATTAGATAGTAAAATATCATTTACCTACTATAATTAGAGTTTATAAAGGGCTGATGCAGACATTATTTCACATGGTCATCACAGCAGACTGAGGGCTAGTCAGTGTTGAAGGCGTTTCTGGAACTAAAGCTGAAGGGACTGATAGCTGCTAAAAGCACATAGTTAAAACCTCCTCTTCCATAATCCCAGGGATCAGGTGTTGTTACCAATACTGGTTTTCTTCAGGCTTTTTGGCAGAGCAGGAGGTCAATGCTTACATCCTGCTTGGTCTTATGTCCTCTCTATTATACAACATTGGCTCTAAAATTAGCACCTGATCTTATTAATATGCAAAACCTACCCATATCACCTATCTTGCAAGTGTTTTCGTTTTGGTACTTGTCATTTATCAATCATCTTAATTTGGGGAAGTTTTTACTGTATAAAAGATTTAATTTTTGAAGGAGCCCAAATACTCATCTTTATGATTTTTTTTCTTTTCTTTTTTTTCAGTTGGGGTTTCACTCTGTCACCCATGCTGGAGTGCAACGGCAATGGCACAATCACAGTTTACCACAGCCTTGACCTGGGTTCAGGCCATCCTTCCACCTCAGCCTCCTGAGTAGCTGGAACTGACTACAGGTGCGCACTACCATACCTGGCTAAATTTTTTTGATTTTCTGTAGAGACAAGGTCTTGCAGTGTTGCCCAGGCTGCTCTTGAACTTGCTCAACCAATCCTCTGCCTCGGCCTCCCAAAATGCTATGATTTCTGGTGTGAGCTACCGCACCTAGCCAATCTTTACAGTTTTCAACTGTAGTGCCTGGCTTTTAAAGGAGGCCTCTTTGTTGTAAGAGTATATAAATCTATATTTTTGTTAGTACTTTTACAGACTCATTATGTTACATTTAATCTTATATTCCACCTTAATTTTTTCCCCAAATTGCTACTGGATTCTTACATCTGAATAGTTATCCATTCTCTGATCATCTGAATTGTCACCTCAAATACTAAATTCATATTTATTTCAACTATTACATGCTTTTTCATATTTTATCATTTTAAAAATTAGTAGGCATTTCATAATCAAGAGTTTATTCTAATTAATTGAAATAATTTTCTTCTTTCTTGGCAATACATATTATAAAATAATGTCTTTCAATCAATGGCATCTTACTTAGAAACAATAATATATATTCTATGATATATAATAACATAATTTTGTCTACCAAACTGATGATATGTATTTGGACTTTCTTTTCTGTTTCATCAATCTTTGCAAGTCTTCTAGCACCTACACATGTGTTGAATTATTTTACTTTTACAATATCATTTTTATTTCTGGATAAAAGTCTACATTTTAATCCATATTATAGAATATAAATTCTGTAGATAAATATGGAATTGGGATAGCATCTATATCGCAATTCCATATCTATCTACTATGATTATTTTTACATTTCCAGATGTAAATGTTGTAAGTAATTATAAATGTTGATCAGGAACCCCTGCCTACTCCCCTGCTCCAAATTTTACAAAGATATGTATTGAAAATTAATGCAAATCTAATATAGAAAGAGTTGATATCTTACAAAATTGACTTTAATCATTCAGGAACTATAACTTTACTTCTTTTTTTTTTTTTTTTTGAGTTGGAGTCTCACTCTGTCTCCCAGACTGGAGTGCAGTGGCCGCTCCCGGCCACCGCAGCCTCGACCAACCTGCTGGGCTCTGGCCATCCTTCCGCCTCAGCCTTCCGAGTAGTTGGAATTACAGGAATGCGCTACCACGTCCGGCTGATTTTTTGATTTATTGTAGAGATGCGGTCTTGCTGCCCAGGCGGGTCTCGAACTCGCGGGCTCAGGCAATCCACTCACCTCAGCCTCCCAAAGACGCAGGATTACAGGCTGAGCC